CTACACATGGGTGACTGGAGAGCCAAACCTAAATAAAGCTCATATTACCACAACTGCCAGGTCATCAGGAAAGTCATGACACATTTTTGCATAGAAAAACATATCATGGCTTTACCGACAACCTAACAGCACTTCAATGCATTCCTCCATAGGTAAGGTTTTCAAAGAAAATGACGTGCTACCTAAATAAGAAGGAATTTAGGCAATGTCTCAAAACAGTTTGTTTTTTTAAGAGAGATTTTTGCTATAGTGCACATGCACTTGCCAGAGAAACAGAGAGAGAGACAGAGAGACAAAAAGTGAGAATTCACCCTCCCATCAGGGTTGGCCATGCCACAATCCCTTCTCCTCCATTCTCCTCTCAAGATTTTGGGCACGCATGCATATACACAGGCCTGGTGTGAGTTTTAAGTCACCTGGTCCAGGATAGTCCAGCAATGTAACCATTACACCATCTCCTAGTCCCTCAAAACAGTTTTTAAAAAAAAGGTTGTCTATTATGAAAAAAATAGAGATTTGCTATATGGTCCATAAATAATAAGCAAACAATGGAGCTAGTGTCTGTTTTGCCAGCAAGAAACATGAGCACTCACAGGTGACAGTTATTGAGGCCCTTCAATATAATGAGCACTCTGGCACACCCTTTATGTATCTTACATCCTGAGCCCATCCTCAGACTACAGACTACAGCATTTTGACCCAGTTTTCCAGATAAATGGAAGCTCAAATAATTAGCTTAAGTCTCAAAGGCAATAAAACAGCCTAAATTCAAAACTCTTTCTTCAAGTTACTGTACTAGTGGTTATTAAACATTTTGTGTTCAACCCACAGTAAAATTTGCATTTTTTTCATACAGCCCAACCACACACACATACACACAGATTTCATGAAACAATACTTACCCTTACTATATGACATGCATTCAGACAACTCATAGTCTACTTTCTTTGTTTTATTTTTTAAGGATGGTTGTCATTCACCTCTTTATTTCAAAATTGTGGGTGTCACAACCCTCAATCTGAAAACTTTGAAGTTCTCTTCCTGTCTCTTATCCTTATAATTCTGGTTTCATTATCTCTTAAATGCAAAACAGTGTTTTCCAAGTCATCAGTTCTGATCCACTGAATGACGATGACTTTGAGAACTGATTAAAAATGCAAATTGATGGATCCTGCCTCAGACTTGCTCAGTCAGAATTTCTCTAGAAATTGAAAACTCTGATAAAGAGAAAGGAGTTCCTTAAATAACTACAAGGAATACACAGTGGCTGAATTCCCAAGAGAAATATTTCTAACTGAATATTCTAATGCCTTTGAAAAACATACCAAAAGAAATACAAAAAGAAATTTGAAGGGATGCAAGCCATAAGGATGATGATTGATTAATCTTAAATTAATTTTTCCATTAACTGTTAGTCTCCTAAACTACTTCTTGTTTTGTTTTGTTTTACTGTAGAGCACTTGCATTCACCAAAGAGAGACACAGAGAGAGAGGAAAAGTGAGCAATCACCCCCAAGGGGGAAGGCCATACCACAATCCTTTCTCCTCCATTCTCCTCTTGGGACTTCGGGCATGCACGTACACACGTACCTCCAGATATACCTGATAATAAATTGTGAATTATTCTCTTATACATGACTGGCTTGATTCCAGCTTCTCCTTTCTTTTTTCTTTCTTTTTTTTTTAAACAGATTAGAATTCCATTTTCTTAGATGTACAAAAATAGTAAAAGAGAAAGTACTTTTTAGGGCTTGGCTAAGGCACATTGGTCTGAATTAAGGATAAAATTTTCCCATAGTACTAATTATCTATAGATTATTGCAAGTAGTTTTAGAATCTGAATTGCTAAAGGGTGTTATAAACACATGAATATTGCTTCAATAAGTAATCAAAAACCAACTTTACAAAGCTAGTTAAGAATATTAGAAATTTATGTAAAATTAATGTCAAGATTTATTAGATTCTTTAATCTTTACATGAGGCTTAAAGGAGAAGCCCAAATAATTTAGATAGTTTTGACTGGAGTCTGCAAATTTCACTAATAATATGCACCAAACACTTCACTTAAAATTTTATGGTCATATTTTATAATAATCTCTCAGCATCCTGCCGACCTTCATACAAGTCAGAAAACAATTTACTTTAGAAGGGCCCTTTTAATCATTCTTTCTTTAAATTTATTATAAGCAAGAAAAATAAAGAGACACTGAAACAGGAAACAGCACTCCCAGCAGGGTTTCAATGTCACTGTCTACTCCTAACTTTAGCCAGCCCCAAATCTTGGGCACACTCATGCCTGTCCCACTCAGGGAGGTCTCTGGACATGTCCCCGGAACCCTCTCATGTGGGTCAGCCTTACAGAGCATCATATTTTACTGTTGTACCATCTAACTCATACCTTTTTTTCTCCCCCCCAAAAAAGGCATCACAGCACAGATATATGGCTTCATGGTTGCTTTTTTTCTGAGGAAAAGAGAGCATAGTAAGGAATCCCTATAATGAAACCAGCATAAGACTTGGCTCAAGAAAGGGAGGCATATCCTCTGAAAAAAAGGACAGATCTTGGTGTTTTCTCTGACTTTATCCTCTCCATCCTGCATCTCTTGCCCCAACTTTCTGCCCTCAAAAGAGAAAAGGTGGGTTGACCAGTGTTAAAATATGTTCTTCTTGACTCTGTTCTGTTTTCCTCTCTTATTCTAGCCAGTGGCCCCACAAATCTTCACAGGCCTCATCATCCACCCCTTGTTCCCAGGAGGTATCCTGTCCACCAGTCAGACAGGGGCCAATCCAGAGGTCCACAATGGCATCCTTCCTGCAGGACAAGCAGGAGTAAACCCTGCTATCCAGGGAACCCCAGGGGGCCACCTCCCCACACCCAGTGACACAGATGATGAGTTAGACGTGGCCACTCCTGCAGGAATCCTCAGGGGCATGCACACTACCGAGGAAACCACTACGGAATCACCAAATGGTAAGTCCTCCTGCCCTGGGCAAACACTCTTTGACCATGAAGGTTACCTGAAGAGTGAGAGGTCTGGCCTTGGCAAATGCAAATCTTAATAAAACCAGGGGCCCAGCTGAGTTTGACACTATACTCAGCAGGCTGAGGCCACCAGCGAGGCACATATTTCATTCCCAGCACACCCTAAATTCCAGCATGGTGGTGCACATCTGTAGTCCCCGCTTCTCCAGAGGCAGAGACAGGATGATTACAACACACTAAGACCCTGCCTAGAAAAAAAAACTAATAATAAATCGGGGAGTTCTGATTCCAGCAAGCAATGTGAAGAAACACTTTTACTGGGCTGCCAGTCCTATGGTATTACCCCTGAAAGAAGACTTTTTACCTTTTTAAAATTTTACCAGAAGGCACATGCACTCCCTGGAGAGAGAGAAAGTAAAAAAGTATCCCCCATGGGGGATGGTCATGCCACAATCCCTTCTCCATGTCTCCTTTTGGGATCTTGGGCACGTGCACATATTTTTCAAGGGCCAGTAGGGGATTCAAACTGTGCAGTTGGTTACATGGAACCCAACCACGTTTAACCAGCATGCTACCAGCTGGCCTCTAAGAAGACATTTAATTGCTGGCATAACATACTTTCCATCATACACTAGAGCTGGAAATATTTGGAAGCAGACTATGTTCCACTCCTTCCTGTCTCCCCCCAACACATAGCACAGACTCTCGCAGACACACTTTAAGTCATCATGATCCTCCTTCCACTCACTGATCATGGACGAGCCCCAAACTTCCTGACCTAACATTACAAGCAGCCACTAACAATACTCTGAGTCAGTAGAGTGGGTAAATCTATGTGCCATTCCTCTCAGATGGGATTCAAGAAATGTTGCAAAATAAGCTTTCCTACACCAACAAGCAAAGATAATCGTTTAACAGGTGGGGATGTCTACTGCCAAATGTTCTTAGAGACAACAAAAGAATGAACTGATGTTGATACACCTATTCCTGGAAAACAAATTTTGATCTCAAGTAAAATTATTTAAATCCAATGTAGTTTTACCTACTTTTCTTGGGGGGAGATGGGGGACCTTGTTAAAGGAGCAACTGTAACAAGGACTTTGTTTTTTCACATTGAGAAAGTGTGGATTTTACCTACATTTAAAAGGACTTTTATTTTCTTCCAGGAATCCAGTAAGTTGTTTCAAATGTTTCAACTAAACCACATCAAATTTGGTGACCCGTGTGAAACTTTTTCACTAATCATACTCTGGAATAGATTGAGATATACTGGAGTGTCTCAGAAGAAATTCTTAGCTTACCTGAAAATTTAAATATATTTGACCTAGAGAATACTGGCTTCTAAAAAAAAAAAAAAAAAAAAAAAAAAAAAGCATAACATATGTCTTAGAATATGACATTATGCCAAGTCAAACTAGGAAGACATGTATATTAAAGCACATTTTGAAAACTGGCTCTTTTTCTTCTTTGGGGATGGAAGAAAGCTGGGCCCTTTCAGAAACACTGTTATCCAGGGTCTAGGACTTCTTTGGAAGTAGGAAGCTCTGCGGTCAATGGAGAGGATGCCAGCTATAAGGACAAATTCTGGAGTCCCCATAAAATACTGGCTTCTAAAAAAAAAAAAAAAAAAAAAAAAATGAATGCATACATATGTCTTAGAATATGACATTATGCCAAGTCAAACTAGGAAGACATGTATATTAAAGCACATTTTGAAAACTGGCTCTTTTTCTTCTTTGGGGATGGAAGAAAGCTGGGCCCTTTCAGAAACACTGTTATCCAGGGTCTAGGACTTCTTTGGAAGTAGGAAGCTCTGCGGTCAATGGAGAGGATGCCAGCTATAAGGACAAATTCTGGAGTCCCCATAAGCACCTCATGCCCCACTCTCACCCACAAATTTAATCTTCAGTAAGCAAACTACTTTTGATGATCTAAAACACATGATATAAACAAAGAAGTACAAATCATACTGCTATCCTCAAGCTGTTCACATTCAGTGCCAGTGATTTTGGCATTTAATGTTTAATTTTCATATATTTGAGAGTGGGGAATAACACTAATAAAAGTAATCATCAAAGCAGGCCAAGGTAATACTCCAGCTCCAACCCCCTAATAGGTAGAATTTAATCTGATTTAGACATAACTCAGCCCAATGCAGCTCATTCAGAGTGGGAGTGAGTGAGTGAGGTTAATACAAACTTCAGTAAAGGCCCGCAAAAGAAAAGGTATGGACAGGATTAATAACATTTCTCACTGTATTTGTCTCAGTCCCATCAATATGGAACAAATATAAATATGCATCCACGAAATGTATTCCATGGCAAGTTTTTCAGGTGATTAAAGATTTGCTAGTGAGAGTAAATTGGATTCAATCTTCCAAACATAGTTTGCCATTAGTGATATTAATTAAAAGGATTGTTAAAAGACCTCCTAAAACACCCTCTATTAAAAAATTTAAAAATTCCTGGCTCAGCTGCAATGGTGTAGACTGTAGGGCACCACTGTGTGATGCTAAAGTCATAAAGCAGGGCCTCAGGTTCAGATCCTGGATCGACATGAACATGCCAGCCTTGTCTATAGAGTCAATGCCATCCCACTCAGAACCTGAGCAAATTACTTTGCAGATGCAAACAAACTACTTCTAGGGTTTACATGGAGAAAGTAAATACTGACACCCAATTCAACACTGACTACAGTAATCAAGACAGTGTGGCACTTGTGAAATACCAGGTCATTAGAAAAGTCATGATGCATTTTTGCTCTCTGGTGAGCACATATATCCTATAGCAAATTTTTTAAAAAAGAAAGCAAAACATTTAAGAAACACAAAATGGAAAAATTATCTGTTGATGATAATATCTTTGATTGAGCCAACAAACAGTATATACTGGATAGGAAAATTCATTTTCCTAATATTTAAAAAATGAGCAAAAGATTTGAACAGACACCTCACCAAAGGAGTTACACAGATGGCAAATAAGTATATGAAAAATGAACAATATCATATGGCAGTATGAAATTGCAAATTCAGCAAACAATAAGATAGCTAAAAACCCACGATACTGATAACACCAAATGGTGATAAGGATATGCAGCAACAAGAACTTTCAGTCATTGCTGATGGGAATGCAAAATCTTACAGCCACATCTTTTTTTTTTTTTTTTTTTTTTGGCTGTAGAACACATGCACTCACCACAGACAGAAAGAGAGAGGGAAAGTGAGAAATCGTCCCCCAGGGGAAATAGCCAGGCTGCAATCTCATCTCCTTCATTCTTCTCTGGGGCTCTGGGGCACATAAACACACAAGTCCGGTGTGATTTTCAAACTCCTGGATCCCTGACTGTAACAGCTTGGTCAATCATGTGGGGTCCAGTTAACCTCCATGGCATCTGCTGGCCCTAGAACACTCACACTTTTAAACATACAACTCAACAATGCATTCCTTGGTTTTTACCCAAATGAGCTGAAAATTTGTGTTCAACCGAGAATCTACATGATGAATAGCAGCTTTACTCGTAATTGTCAAAACTTGGAAGCGACCAAGATGTTCTTCAATAGGTGAATGGATATACAAACTATGATATATTGAAATAATGGAAAGTTATTCAGTGATAAAAAGAAATAAGCTATCAAGCCACAAAAAGACATGAAGGACCCTTAAAAGCATATTTGTAAGAGAAAAAAGAATCTTAAAAAGCTACATACTGCATGAGTCCAGCTAGATGACACTGAAAAAGGCAAAAATATGGAAACAGTAAAATGATCAATAGTTGCCAGAGGTTCAAGGAGAGTAGGGAGAGGAGCACAGGGAATTTTTTAGAGCAATGAAATCATTCTGTATAACAACAAGATTATTCTGTGTAACACTGTAATGGTGAATACATGTCATTATATATTTGTCAAAATCCACAGAATATGCAACACAATAAATGATCCCTAATGTAAATGATGGAATTTAGCTAATAGTGATGTATTAATATTGGATCATCAATTACAACAAATGTACCACACTAATTCAGAGGACACTGATAACAGAATTAACTGTAGAAGAGAGTGAGAGGAGGTAAATGAAAACTTTCTGTACTTCTCAATTTTTCTTAAAAGATATAAAAAAGAAAGAAAGAAAACACTGATGAGTATTCAAAACTATTAGCCCATAGTGGTTGCAGTGGTCTATTTTACTAGAAATGAGTTCCACCTAGTGGTCCTGAGACAGAAAAGCTAAAAGGCCAATGAACCAGCTGCAGCCAAGAAAATACTACAATAGGGGGAAGATGCTATGATACTAGAAACAAGTCTCAAATCTGATAGCCAGCCATAACTTAAGGATGCAAGCAGTCACAAAGAAAGATGGTCATGCGTGCCCAAAATCTAGAGAGGAAAACAAAGGAGAAAGGATTGCAAGATGGCCATTCCCCCTGGAGGGTAATTTTTCACTTTCCCTCTCTGTCTAGTAAACACGTGCACCCTACAACAAAAAACTAAAATAAATAAATAAATAAATAAGCAGACAAACAAGCAAGCAAGCCCCAGAAATAATGGTGTCGTCAGAGGGCACCTCTGTGCAATACTGGAATCATGTGAGAAGGGTTAGGGTTCAGATCCTAGGTCAGCCTGCACACACTAGGCATGCCTATTATCTCAGCAGGATGGTAGGCTAGAGAGAGGATCACAGCATGGCAAGTTCCTGTCAGAGTCCCTGTTCTCCTTTTCCTCCCCCCATGCGCTTCAAGAAATAATAACTTTTTTTTTTTTGGAGAGGTTTTTGCTATAGGGTGCATGTGCTCTCACCAGACAGACAGAGAGAGACAGAGAGACATAAAGCAAGAAATCACCCCCCAGGGGGGATGGCCACACCGCAATACCTTCTCCTCCATTCTCCTCTCGGCATCTTGGGCAGACACACACACACATACACACACACACACACGCCCAGCGTGAGTTTAAGCCACCGGGTCCGGGACTCGAACCGCGGTAAACTACATGG